TATTATACTCCCAAAAAATAAGGATTATTGTATTTTAGAAGATTATTCGAGTTTTATGATTATACTACCCTGAATGGTTCCAATAATCTAACAATGTATTTATCTCATAGAAACGGGATATTTTTAAAGACTTTTGTTTAATATTTTCTACGTATTTGTATGAAAGTTTTGTTTATGTTTTTGTTAGGTATTTTGTTTTAGTATTTTTATGAAGAGTTTGACCTATAATTTTGGAGGTATGATAATTAAATAAGGTTATTTGTAGGTATAATTAAGATGGTTTGAGTTAATGTAAAATTTCCCCAAAGTTTCAAGAGTTTTATCCCTAAATTTCCCCGAAGCTCTTAAGAGTTGGATTTACCTAGTCCCTGAAGTGAAACTCTTACTCGTAGCGACAGTTTACTTTACGTATTAGAGTTTCACAGCAATTGAGAGTCGACAAGACGAGCGGGGTTAAGGGGGGCTTTACCATCTGGGGGCATTTCTTAATATTCAAATGATATATTGCCAGGGCGCCTCTTCACAAACGTTCCTCTGAAGAGTATTTCGACATACAAACACACAGTTAGACGTATATACACACACACACACATACACACACACATACATACATACATACATACATACATACATACATGCATACCTACATACATACATTCATACATTCATACATACGATATTGACAGGACATTTGGAAGAATTGAAATTGAGGATCCTCTTGTATGACGCACTACACACACACACACACACACACACACACACACACACACACACACACACACACACACACGCACACACGGACACGTACACAGGTATAAGCTCGAGGCTGTCCTATATGAGAGAGAAATATATCAGGTGGTGTATAGAATGGGTGAGGTGTTACTCCGTGGGGACAAGTGGGTGGTGTATGTGTGTATGTGTGTCAATAGATGGTGTATGTGTGTCAATAGATGGTGTATGTGTGTATGTTTATTGGGTTTGTTGGTTTTTGTCGTCGACTTCTTGGGATTTTTCTTTTTCTCTATTTTTCTATCTTTTGTTTTTTTTCTCTCTCTCTATCCACCCCTTCCCTATTGCTGTTTAGCCCTGGTTCTCTCCCCCTCACTTTCATCCTCACCCTTTCCCTCTTCCCATTTTTATCAGCCGTATTTCATCCCCTTCTCTATTCCCTATTACTACTGTGTTGCCTCCCGTCCTCCTCTCTTCCACCTCCGCATTTTATCAGCTTGTGTGCGTGTCTCCCCTCTTCGCTACATTATCTCCGCCTCTCCCTACCTCCATGCTTTACTGCCCCTTATCTCAGTTCCTATCATTTTCTATTTCTCATTTCTCTGGTTTGTCTGTCCTGTGTCTCTGATGTCTTCTTCTTCTTCTTCTTCTTATTCTTATTATTATTATTATTATTATTATTATTATTATTATGACCCAAGAACCAGCGGTGTGCGTACAAGACTGATACCATTACCCGGAGTGGTTGACTGAGATGGACGTATAAGTAGCGTGTGTGTGATGCCCGATTAACACGGATAAACACGGATAACACTGATAAACGCGGATAAACACGGATTAACACGGATAAACACGGATAAACACGGATAAACACGGATAAACACGGATTAAACGATGCGATTAACACGGATAAACACGAACAAACACGGATAAACAAGTGACTAAATCCAGGTTGTGGAAGAGGAGTAACAATAAAGAATACACCCGATAACAACCCTGAATTAAGTAAAGGAAAATAATTGCGGTAGTGTTTGTGTTTTGGTACCGGCCATCTTGTACCGTAAGGGGGAGCTGCTGGGTTGTGTTTGGTTGGGTTTGGTTGGGTTTGGTTAGGTTTGGTTGGGTTTGTTGGGTTTGGTTGGGTTTGGTTGGGTTTGGTTGTGTTTGGTTGTGTTTGGTTGGGTTTGGTTGGGTTTGGTTGGGTTTGGTTGGGTTTGTTGGGTTTGGTTGGGTTTGGTTTGGTTGTGTTTGGTTGGGTTTGGTTGGGTTTGGTTGGGTTTGGTTGAGTTATGTTTGATGGGGTTGGATTCATTACACTTTTTATTTGTTATTATATCTTTCTCTTCCTTGTTTACCTCCCATCTATCTTCCTTCCTTCTCTCCCTCTCACTTCGCCCCCCTCCCCCTTCACTAGGAGCGGCGTTAGACACAAAAATGGTAAGTCTTGATTTGGGAGCCACCTGTTTCCCTCCAGTGCCACCCTCCTAGTGCCACCCACCCCTAGCCACCACCCTAGTGCCACCACCCCTAGTGCCACCTACCACCAGTCCCACCGTCCATAGTGCCACCTACCCCCAGTCCAACCTCGAGTGCCACCTACCCCTAGTGCCACCCCGTTCTGTGTCTCTTGCTGATGTGCTTATATTTCTCCGATAAACTCAATTTTACGTCTTAGCTTACACTCTCGAGGGGCGGTGGTGGCGTGGGTGGGCAGTGGGTGGGCGGTGGGAGGGTGGGTGGTGGGTGGGTTTCCTGGGGCGGTTCTCACATGTACAATTATTGCTCTTTGTCGAGTGCCTTATTGGAAACCGTAATGATTTATTGCTCTATAAGGGTGAGGAGAGAGAGAGAGAGAGAGAGAGAGAGAGAGAGAAAGAGATAGAGAACTCAAGATGCTAGGACTGCCCAAGAGGATCAGATACGATTCACACTCAAACAAACAAAATAACAAAATGTAAGGGAAACA